AAAAAACTTTAAAAAAATACATAATTGCTTTACTTATTCCTTTTGCTAATATGATAATTTTACCTTGTCTTTTGGTATATCTGAGATGAGAAAAGAAGCAACATACTTTCATAGAATCATAAAATAATTCTAGTTAGAAGGAACCTCTGGTGGAAATCTGTTTTAGTCCCCTACTCAAAGGTTGGATTCAGCTTCAACATCAAATCAATTTGCTCTAAGCTCAAATCTACCTCAGTTTTGAGTGTTTCCAAGGATGGACTTTTACAGCCTTTTTGGATAGTCTGTTCCAATGTTTGACCAATCTCCCAATGAAGTTTTATTTTTATTTATCTAGCTCAGATTTCTGTTCTTGCAGTTTTGTATTTGTTCTGTTTTCTTCATGTTTAAAGTAGTGCATTAATACTGCTTGCCAGAGAGTAAAGAAAGAAATCCAAATATTCTCAATGAGTAACAAAAAAAACCCACGTAGAAATGGGAGGAAAGGTGTGATTTGGGTTTAGTCTTCAAGTACCGCATCAAAAGTTCATCCTGACAGAAACTCTGTGTGTGAAACTCAGCTTTCCTCCCCAGCCCTGAGCTGTCCCTGGCACCTCTGGGTGCTGCCAGCCTGCAGGAGGCCCTGTGCTGTCCCTGGCACCTCTGGGTGCTGCCAGCCTGCAGGAGGCCCTGGGCTGTCCCTGGCACATGTGGGTGCTGCCAGCCTGCAGGAGGCCCTGGGCTGTCCCTGGCACCTCTGGGTGCTGCCAGCCTGCAGGAGGCCCTGGGCTGTCCCTGGCACCTCTGGGTGCTGCCAGCCTGCAGGACGTGGCTGCAGTGCCACAAAGCACATCCCTGGGTCAGTGTCGGCCGCTGCTTCTGACCGAGGGGAAACAGAGCCTGTGGAATTGCGGAGGAATGGGAGAGCAGTGGGCTGTAGCAATGCCAGGGGAGCAAGGAGCCTTGTGTGGGTGGCAGTGCTCCCTCCCGGGGCAGTTGCAGAGCGCGGCCATGGACTGGGCTCTGAGGGCCAGGTCTCCTCACAGGCCCCGGTGCCGCAGCCCCTGTGGCGGTGTGGCCGCGGCTGGAGATGCGGATCCCCGGGACACAGCGCAGGTCCGGGAGCCGGGCAGGGCTTGTGCCGCCTCCCTTTGCCTTGTTTTCCCTTGTTTTCCTGTCTCCATCTGCTGGGAGGAAGGAGGTGGCACTGCCCTGCAGGGACAGTGTCCCCGGGGCTGCCCCAGCCCCCGGCGCTGCCCTGGCCGGACACGGGACGCGCTGATCGTTCTCAGCTTCGGGACCTCCAGCTCACGGACGGTCTCTTCTGAGTTCTTGTAAGTGATAAATTTGTCCGTTTTGTCAGAAAATACAGTCTAGGCACTGAAATTTTATTCTTGAGGGAAACAGGGATTTTAAATTCTAAAAATGCATTAATGGGGCAGAAAGAGACTTGACAATTCAGATTAACTTTTCTTTATTTAAAGAAGACCTCCATTATGTGAGGAGGCTTAGAATTCAGAAGCCTTTGCAACATAGGCAAACTCTCCTGACAAATCTCCCTCTCCTCATTCCTGAAGCAATGGCTATGCAACCAAGAGGGAATTCCTTGGGATAAGTGAGCAAGCTTTGGGCGTTTGCACTGCTTTTATTTTGGAACCCAAAAATATAAGCAGCGGAATTAACAAAATTGTCTTCTGCTTTGAAATGTCCACACGAAAAGCTAAAAGGGTCTAGACCCAACATCTTTGGAAAGTCAGTGCTGAAGCTGGTGAAGCAAAGTGCTTCAGGAGTGGTGGCACAGGGGCAGCAGTGCTCAATTGTTCCATATAGAGGGGACAGGGAACTTCTTGTAAATCCATCTACAGCTCTTCTGTGGGTTTTATAAGAAAACCTATAAACTAAATGTTTTTATAAGCAAATGTATAAACTACTATGAAACATTTCTCAAGTAATGAACCCTTTAATAGAGCTTATTTAAGACAAAGCAAGGAAAAGGGTTTTTAAAAGCTTCTAGAGGTTTTGGCTTTTGCATTTCAGAAAGGGTAATTGGCAAACCAAAATTCCAATAAGAGACTACAATTCTGCCTAATAAATAAGAATTTGTGTCGAATCTGATATGTGATTTGATTCTTACTTTCCTTTTAGAGGTAATGCATGAGGTGATAAGGTTAATCCTTTTTGTTTACTGTCATACAGAAAGTCTAATCCCAAATTCTTAAGGGGAAGGAGTGAGAAAAGTGGAAATCCAGATAGGTACTTGTAGATTATCTTTAGCTTTTTTTTTTTTTATGCCATGTGTATTCAGACTAACAACTTAGCGTGAAAATAAAGGAAACATTTCCATATTGAATCACAATGAAATTAATAATTGCAAAATTAATAATTGTTTAGACCTATTTAAAAAAATTCCTCCTTTTCTCAGTGTTCTCATCTCTAACAGAATGTAGTAGAAGAGCTCATTTGCAAACTTATTAGCACAGTAATACAAATAATTTTTCAGGAAATAAGGTTGTTAGAAAGTTCAGTAGGGTATGGCCTGATTTGAAGGCCATTGAAGTGTTTCTCCTTTTAGAATATGGATTAACTCTTAATATATCATTTAGAAGTCAATTCCAAAAATTCCTATTTCCTTTTAGTGCAAACAAGCTTAAAACCTTCTGCTTTGTTCCCAGACAAAACAGCTTTCTTGAACTTAAGCCCCTGAGTTACAGCATAGTTGTGGGAATTTAATTAAATATTGTACATAAATTTATTTATCTATGCAATCAACATCTATTGTTTGATAATTCATGAATTTGCCCTCCAAATTGCACACATAATGCTACTACATTAAAGGAACTAAAAGTAATTGGGTTATTTTTTGTACGAGATACACAGTCCTGAACGCAGGCGACTTTCACTTTTACACCCAGAACGCTGTTGTGTCTTCATACATCCTGAGGGCTAACAGCAATATTTGAGTGCCTTCAGGTTCCAAAAATTATTAATACATTTTTCTAAACATTTACAGTTATTTGTATGTGGAAAGCAAAATTAAATATCACTCATCTCTTAGATGCCAGTTAACCATTTATTCACATTAAAATCTACCAAGAACATTGGCCTAAGAGAAAAAAGTATTTTTTTCTCATTGAAGACTTTTAACCTCAATTAAAATATCTATACATTTGTTACCATGGGGTAAGTTTCATAAATCATAACTCAAGGAAAAACTACCCCTAAAATAATTAAATTAGAATTCTCAACTCCATCATCTTATAAAGATTTTGTTCAAGATTTCAATTTGATTCTTCTGATCATTACAAAATCTCCAAATTTGTTGCTTAGAAAAAATAAGGTAAAGCTTCCCCTGTGGTCTGTTTTCTTACTTTCTTAATGCAAAAAGGTTAAGCTACAGCTGTTTGGTGCACATAGTTTTCCTGCCATTATATTTAGGACTTGGAATGTAAAGAAAAAGAAAACTGAAGTTCCAGATTTCCAGAACTACAGTTCTGGTTCTTGTATCCATCACCTGGATTGCTGATGCAGAATTAGTGTGTTAATCACCCCTCAGCTCAGGGATTCCCCTCTTGTACGTCCTGCTGGGTAACACATGTGGGTATTTTTTTGGCACTGTTTTAGCCTGAAGTGGTGACTGAGTGACCATGTCCAGGCAGAGGCTGTTGGGCAGTTTTGTCCCAGCTTTAGTTCGTGGGCTTTAAAACAAGATCTCTGGCTGGAGACAGAAAGTCCCAGTGGAATTGCCCCCAGGTCAGTGACAGCACAAGGTGGAGGGACTGCTGGAAAATCAAGGTTCTGCTGCACCAAATCTGTCTGACAGGAGCACGTGCCTGTACTTTGTTCCAATTTACAGTCTCAGCTTATGGCCTGAAAGAGCCTTTGCAGTGGGAAGTAAAGGGGGCAGTGGTGGTTCCGTGGCCCTGGCAGCAGGGAGGGAGGGAGGGATGTAAAGCCATCCTTGCATGCAGGGAGGGAGGGATGTAAAGCCATCCTTGCACATGTCCCACCAGCCAGTCACAGCTGCCAGGGCAGAGCCCAGGAGAAAGATGCCCTAAGACATACTCTTCTTTCAAAAAAACCCCAAGTCCAATGATAACAAAAGGACTGGTTAGTTTTTTAATTGAATCCGAATTAAGAAATCCAGAAGTAAATTGCTCTCAGATATGTGTGTTGTGATAGTGTCACCTCTTTCTTTTTTCTTCTATTTTCCCCCCCGGGGACATCATTTGGTATAACATGATCACAAGAAAGTGATGATGAAATGAATGTAATCAAATCATTGCAAAAGGCATTTTATTTTAAAAGTAGTGAAGCTAAATGAAAAATTCATTTTGTACAGTGAAGGCTCTATAGTAAAATTTGAGAACATTCTGGGTTTGATTTTGAGAGGCTGCAATGGAAATATGGCTCCTGGGTTGCAAGACTTTTTAGTCACTTCAAATACTATTTCCAAATAACCCATTGCTTTTTAACATCTCAAAGTTGGTGTGATTTCCAAACAAAAAAACCCAAAAGATCTGTAACCACTGGGCACTTTGTCCAGCAGTGCTGAAGACAAGAGCTGCACCTCCCAAAGAAGGCTCTATTTAGGTGCTTTGACAGTACAGTCAGATGTTTAACAGAATTATTTAAAGGCAATTTAGACAGCACTATCTACTTCCCACTGAATTTCACTTAGTCACTTCTGTAAATCCCATATGTATCTTCTTCATCTTTAGGCACTTTAAATATCTGGCCCAAAGGCAGCTGAAAATCCTGTTAAAGCTATAGGCAGACTTCTGTTTTCTGCTACTGAAAGAGAGCCATATTTTTAAGGCTAGTCCTCAAATTAGTAGGAATTTCAACCTTGGACACTGTTGTTCAATGGGGATATTAAAATTGTTTGTGACATTTAGTTAGTGTGACCTGTTAGAAACATCTGTGCATATTACTTTTCAGTAACATAATTAATTTTGTGAGAAATGTAACCATAACCATAGCACTTTGATCAGCTTTCCTTTTTCTCATTTCTTTTTCTCTCTTTCAAAATTAAACTATTAAATGTTCCTGGCTGAAGACCAATTCTAATATTTTGTAAAATTAAAAAGTCATAAATCAAAGTAAGTATAGCTATTTCCTTGTAGAAACAGTATTTTTTAAGTAACAAACTCCTGCAGAGTGGAAGACATAAATTAATGCTTTTGTGTTTTGGTTTTGTTTGTTTGTTTTTCATAATATGTATATTAAGCTTTTCTGCTTTTTTTAAGCTTCCCCAGTAGTATGGACTAGGGAGAAGTAAAGCCCCCACTGCCATGTTTCTACTCTAAAACAAGTATCTAAACAATTGAGTGGGTTTATTTAACAGATTACTCATAAACCCAACCCAATGGGAACCCCTTTCCTGTCCAGTCTGTTCCCCTGACGAGCCAGCACACTGGGGGACAATGGACAGTGCTGTTCTTTTCTAGTCCCAGTGGATGTTACCATTAGTTTTGCTTGATATTATTCAACTGAATGCGTGGAACAGGGTTGCAAATGCATCATGGAATATGTTAAATCTGTGTGCAGTGTATGCCTGGCTTCATCATAAATACAAACCTTACTGAGGAAGGGACATGGGACTGGAGGATGAGTTCAGTGGGAGTGCTGGGATGGTCTCAGGCCAATGCTACTGATTCATTTTTTAGGCACCTGTTCTTATAATGAATCAATTCCTATAAACAACAAATTCGTAGCCTTAGCGTGAACACTTTACTATTGAATTTCAGGCTAGAGAGGTCTCTTTATTATTAATCTTTAAGGGTGTTTAAGATATAATTTCATATAAAACAGATCATTATCCATGGCTTCTTGGTACTTGCATTTCAGCAAAGAAATCCTGCTTGCAAGATTATTAATGAAAAGGCAGCACATAAATTTGCAAGCAGGTGAGTATACCCAATATGTACTTGGATTCTTCCCAGTAGGTTTTGGGATAATCTATTCAGAAAAAGAAAGTACTAACAAGTAACTTCAGTGATGTAGCTAAATTAACTGAAAGGTGTAAAGGGTGAACACACAAAGCAACAGCACTGACTAGTTCATAAGTGAGCCAGTAGGGTTTTTTCCTGCATACAAATATACAAACCAGAAGCTGATTATAGAGTCATGACTTGCAAAATGCTTTATTAGAAGAAATAATAATACATTGATCACTTGTACATAAAAGTTGTAAATGGTTTACCAATTGCAAACTAGGAGTGGAGAGATTCTCTTCTTATTTGTTTGGTTTCTTCCACTGGTATATTTTTTTTAACATGAATTGATTGACCATTTACTGGTTTCCCAACTGGTTCTGTGGCACTGTGAAACATTCTGGAGATCATTATTAATAAGATGACACTCAACTCTGCAGTAACTTTTTAGCTAATCCAGACCTTGCAGCTCTTGTTTAGCAAATTATTAGAAGACTCTGGATAAGAGAAATAGCTGTAACTTACTGAGACTAAAATAGGCCTTTCTCTCTCCTATGTGCCCTTACAGGGATGCATTTAAACAAAAACCTAGATGGCAAATGGTTAAGACAAATATTCAGGTGGAATACAGCAAGTTGCACATCTTTGTTTCGCAGGTTGCAGCACACTGCAGGTTTAACATCTTCACACTGCAGTGTTCCGGGGTCTTTGGTGCCCAGGGTTTCCTTCTGACATGGGAGATGCAATGGAAGCACTGCAGTGGTTTGCAGGGCAAAAGACTTGTCCTACCCTTTGCAATCTATAGGGCAACTGTACATTGTCCTAAAGGTTCAGAATGAGCTGCTGGACTGTCCCATCTGGGGGCATCTGACCAGACATGAGGAGCTCTGCTCTGGTCTGTCCGAGCCTGTCTGCTAATCTGAGTGAGTCATGACTCAAAAGGACTGTCTGGAACTGCTCACTTTATTTTGGTGCTCTACAGGAGTGATAAATAAGACTCAGCATTGAAAGAAACTGATTGCAAGGACAGGATTTCTAGGAGAGTTCTCTTCTGTGCTCTTAGGACAAAGCTCAGTGTTTCTAATGTACTTATTTCACAGAGTTGAAAAAGAATTTGACTTATCCTGCATCAGAATGTGTATATAAGAGTTGACATTTTCATAAGGCTGCTGCTGATTGCATGGAAGCACCACGCTCCATTCTAGCTAATATAATCTATTTTGGTAACAGACATTTGGGTCAATCTGTTCTCATACAAATTCTTAATAAACACATTCTTTCTCCCGCCCCATGCAATCTGAATAGATGGCAAGATGGAAAGCAAATGGGCAGGCTAGAAGCATTGCATCCTTATATTTCCAAGAAATGTTGTTATTGTTTACCACTATATGGTAGGAGGACTATAAAAACAAATCTTACTTTTTATTGTAGTCTATGAAGTTTCAGGGTACAATTTCAAAACTGTATTTTCTGAGTCAAAGAATAAAAGCTGCTATTTCTGCAGACAGATAGCTAAGCATGTAGTTCTCCTGTCTGCATGTGCAAACAAAGATTATTGCAGTCTCATTGCCTGCACCTTGCTTTCAAACTTGGGCCTTCACTTTATTTACAAAGCTGTTCATTAAATAGTGGAGGAAGTTGATTTCACTGTGCCTCTTTTTTTCACAAGGGTTGTAGAATATAAATGAATTAGGGTTATGTTCTGAAACCATTTTATCTTACAGAAATATTTAATAGGAAGTACATGTAATCAAAATTAAGACTTGATTGCCAACTTCTGATCTACTCTAATGCTCACATATTTGGTTATCTTAGAGAGTGCTAGCATTAAATTTTTCAATAACTGAAAAGTATTATTGCATTTAAAAATATTTAGCAATTACTGCACAGTTGTTACATTTAATAACCTAACCAGTTTGGCTAAAATGATTCAAATCATTTGAGGCTGTAACACATTTCAAAATCCTCAGAGCAGTCTGTGAGCCTGCAGTCAGTCCTGCAGCACCATGGACAGCTCGTGTCATTGCACACTCCAGAAGAGCCAATTAAAGGCCTTAGGAGGCCTTGTCTTGGTGAGCAGGGAGATGCACTGAAGAACTGCCCTCAAAACAAGACAGTGCGAGCACAGAGAGAAACCCTGCCAGGGATGGGGCTGCTGGGGGTGTTGCATTGGGGTTTGCTGGGTTTGAGTGTGGGGTTGGCTGGGCGTTTTTGGGAGAGGGCAGCCTTGTAGACAAAGCACCTTTTTACTGATGCAGAAAACATTCCTCTTTTCTGGAGATCAAAGATTTGGGTTTTGATGAATTCACAGGAGAAATCGAGCCTGGTGATTGTAGATTCTGGGGAAAGTGATGTCTGTCCACTCTTTGCACTAAGAAATGTCTCTGACAATCTGATCAGGAGAGCTTCACAGTTAGAGAAGCTGTGACAAGATGCCTCTGAGGAAAACATTCCTGTACCAGAGCCCATTATCAAGTATAAGTGCTTTATTGTTAATAAAAGCCATTGAAAAAGGTCCCAATATATGTATGTACGATGCCCAGTGCTATTGTCACAGAACCCCTGTGCTCCTACAGCCCAATTTTAAACCTTTAAGTAACAGAAGCTCAGTTTGGCTCTCAGATTCAGTTTGCTAAGATCATGATTTTCTGAGCTATTTTAATTAAAAAAACCTAGGACCTGAAATTCTGGTGTCAGCCTGAAGGGGAAAAAACCAAACAAAAATCCCAACATTTTTTCCTGCGCGAATTGATGATGATGATTCTGCTTTGAATGACAGGCTGGGGTGAGAAAAGAGAGGGGAGGGAGAGTTTTTCTAATGAGTAATTTGATGACTCCTCCTTTATTCTGAAGTACTATTGATCTTTTTTTGTCTGGAGGGTGTTTTTTTTGGCTGACAACTAAAAGTTCTAGCATAAATCTATTGTAAAAATCAGTGTGTCATACTGCCTCATGATAAGGGCAGTCCACAAAGAAATCTAAATTGACTAAAGTGTTTCCAGGGCTGAACCAGAGGAGGTGTCCTCGCTGTGCTAATGAGCTGCAGCTCTCCTTTCCCATGGCTGGCCAGGGCAGGGAGGGCTCCCCACGCAGCTCACAGTCCCCAGTCCCTGCAGCCAGAAGTGCTTCATCACCGCCTTTCCATTCTGCTTTGCTTTTTTGCTACAGGTTCTGTCAATACTAATTTAGATTTTTAGCATTTTATAATACACCACCCAAAGCACTGAAAAAGTGGCAGCACAGCAGCGGTTCGGTGATTTCCCCCCGCGGGCAGCCCGTGGCGGCATCTCCGCCGGTTTCCTTGGAAACTGCCGGGGGAATGGGATCGGGATCGGGATCGGGATCGGTGCAGCCTCCGACGGATGCGAGAGTCGGGCAGGTTCGAGTGCCAGACACCTCCTGGGCAGCACAAAGGGACGAGCCCGGAACGAGCCACGGTCTAAGCTCCTTTATCTTTGAGGGAAGCCCCGGGAAGAGGCACATCTGCAGTGCCTTGGAAGTTTGGCTGGAACGAGGAATGGATTGAAAATTTCATCTCTGTAGAAACCATAGTGGTTGGGGGGTTTTCTTTTCTTTTCTGTTGGTTTTTTTGGGGGTATTTTTTCCTCCCTATGGACACTTTTAAGTCTTCATTTCATGTCTGGAGCTATTCCTTGATTTTTGGGTGTTTGTTTTTTTTTTTTCTGGAGATATCTATTCTAGGACTTGTTTCTGAGAGGAAGGAGCAAAAAAAAAACCCCACAAAACCCTAAACTAAAAAAAAAACCCCAAAAATCCAAACCCCATACTGAAAACAGAAGAGATCTATTTAAGAAACTATTTATTGTTATGGAACATAATCTTCTATATTGTCAGAGGAATAAAAGGAATTTACATCCTTTGAGCTGTTTATATTTTTCACCTTTTTTCTGTCTTAAGAGTTTATATCAAAATGACGTAATAGCCTGTCCTGCTGCCACTGATGACTTCAGGAACACTGATGGGCTGCAGAGTGGGGCCTCAATATCCTTCACTGTGCTTTGCCTACATTTTTTTCAACAGTGTAGGAAGACATCTTTTGTTTTCAACCAAAATCTGTTGGTGACTAAGGCTCCTTATGTCAAATTGTCTCAGTTACTTTTGAAAAAAGCAAATTATATGGCATGAAGCAAAAATCATTGTCTCAA